TTAAATTTATTTTATTGAACTATAGTTGATTTACAATGTGTTAATTTCTGCTGTGCAGCAAAGTGATTCAGTTATACATATATGTACATTCTTTTCCAGATTTTTTTCTACTATGGTTTATCATAGAATACTGTATATAGTTCCCTGTGCTATACATTAGGACCTTGTTGTTTATCCATCCTATATATAACAGTTTGCATCTGCCCATCCCAAACTCCCAATCCATCCCTCCCCCACGCCCCCTCCCCCTTAGCAACCACAAGTCTGTTCTCTATGTCTGTGAGTCTGTTTCTGTTTCGTAGATGAGTTCATTTGTGTCATATTTTAGATTCCACATATAAGTGATATCATATGGTGTTTGTCTTTCTCTTTCTGACTTCACTTAGCATGATAATCTCTAGGTCCATCCATGTTGCTGCAAATGTGCCTCAGCCAACTCTTTTTTAAAAAATATTTATTTATTTTTGGCTGCATCGGGTCTTAGTTGCGGCACGTGGAATCTTTTGTTGCAGCGCACCGGCTTCTCTCCAGCTGTGGTGCACAGGCTCAGTAGTTGTGGCGCAGACTTAGTTGCCCCACGGCATGTGGGATCTTAGTTCCCTGACCAGGGATCGAACCCTTGTCCCCTGCATTGGAAGGTGGATTCTTAACCACTGGACCACCAGGGAAGTTCCCTCAGCCAACTCTTAAGAGTCTAAAGAGACCCAGCTAAGATTGTGAACTCCTAAAGGTAAGGCGGGTGTGTTATTTTATTCTATTATTTTAATTAACCATTTAAATGTGTACAATTCAGTGGCATTTAGTACATTCACAATGTTGTGTAACTACCACCTCTATCTAGTTCCAAAGCATTTTCTTTACCCCAAAAGGAGACCTGTTAGTCAGTAGGTAGTCACTCCCTATTTCCACCGCTCCCGAGCCCCTGGAAACCACTAACCTGCTTTCTGTCTCTATGGATTTACCTATTCTTGATGTTTCATTTAAATGGAAACACGTAATATGTGAACTTTGACGTTCAGCCTCTTTCACTTTTGTTCTCAAAGTTGACCCATGTCCTAGCATGTATCAGTTCTTCACTGCTTTTCACGGCTGAATAATGTTGCATGGTATGGACAGACCACATCTGTTCATCCAGTCATCCACTGATGGACACTTGAATTGTTTCCGCCTTTTGGCTATTGTGAATAGTGCTGCTATGAACATTCTGCACAAGTGGTTGTTTCAACGACTGTTTTCAATTCCTTTGGTATATACCTAGGAGTGGAATTGCCGGGCCATATGGTAAGTCTATTTTAACATTTTGAGGAGCTGCCAAACTGTTGTCCAGAGTTTTCCTTTCCCACCAGCAGTGAGTCTTATTTGGTTTTACTATCTGCCTCGGCACTATGCAGGTACATACAGGGAAGGAGAGACAGCCGTTATTCACTGAGATATTAGATGCCTGGCACTGTGAGAAAGCACTTTTCCTACGCTGTACTATTTGATATTGGCAGCAACCTAAGAGCTAAGGTTGATACTGTTTCCATTTTACAAATGGGAAACCGAAGCCCACAAGCCTGAGACATCCAACCCACAACCCCATAGAAAATGGCAGGGTGGGACCCAAGCCTTGGCTGCTCTGACTTGAAGGCCTGAACATTTTGCTTTTTCAGTACCACAGGCTGACCCCATCAGGCAGCTATCTGACAAGTGAATTATTAAGTGGTGTAAAGCACTGTATTCCAGGAGAACCAGCTCTGTCTGCTGGGATGCAAGAGTCACCTACAAGCCTCATTACGCCCCTATCACCAGCGGTCAGACCATACTTGACCAAATTCCAATACGTGACTAAGGCTCTGTTCTTTCTTCAAGATCCAGTTTAGTGCTACCTTCTCCATCAAGACTTCTGACCCCTCCCAAGCAGATGGATCTTGTATCTGCTCCCTCTTTGAAGCCTTTGCACTTCTCATTAAGCACTTATATCACTGTAAATTTGTTACTTGCTTAACAAGTAACTGTTAACTTATTACAGTTAAACAGTTACAAGTAACTGGATAAATTATTTTATTTTTATATTGCCTATAGGAGCCTGATTATAATAGGTAATTATATTTTTGAAATCACTGTTATTCCCAGAGTTGTGGGACCTGAGAGCAGCATGTCAATGAAATCCCATGCTTGCATTTATGAAGAACACTTGCCTAATAGACCAGCTCAGTCCAGAAATGGGCCAATGAAATGGAAGGTAGACAAGACTCATAGTGTTTTAGAAGCCTCAGAAAGAGAAGGAAAATGACCTGGAAAGAACATCATCTCCCCTGATCTCTCATCGGGGCTCCCAATAACCTAGCCTCAGGTCAATGCCCTGGTCTCCCACTGAGAACTCATAACTTAGACAAATGAGAGGAAATAACAGCAAATTATTTCAAGGGGAACGAAAGTGGACTAATAGGTCCTTGGCAGGATGTTCAGAAATCCTAGAACAATGATGCAGATCTACAGAAATGTTTCTAATCTAACCTAACCTTTTAACAAATTTAGCAAAAGGGAGATGCTATCAGCACTCAAATTAGGATAACTCGAGCTGATTTTACAGATATAGATCACCAGAGGGCCAAATTATGAAGGTGTGGATGGGTAGAGGGGAACCAGACGTGTTATTGCTCAGAGGCCTGAAGTGAGGCGGAGGGAGAGGTGACAGGAGCCTGACCCAGGAGTTGAGTAGCACAGACCGCCCTGAGAGGTTCAGGGCCAAAGCCAGCCTAGGGGTCCTTGCAGGGAGGGGCCAGGAGAATAAATACCCTGGCCTCGTTCTCCTGCTAGCCTCCCCCCTTCACACACACTGGCCAAACCCAAGTAGAAGCCATGGGGAAGGGAGGACCTCTTGCTGGGTACATGGTAAGTCAGCCTCCAGGGCAGAGAGAAGAGTGGAGAAAGATGAAGGGTTACCTGGAGGGAACAATGGGAGACTACTGGCACAGAGGATATGAAAACAAGAACAGGCAAATTTGGTGAATACAAACTTTGCTCATTGCACCCAATCAACCTAGAGATCTGTGCTTTACTCAATATTGTAACATGGAGTACAGATGGCATGTCAGTCAGCAAAACAAAGCCAGGAGCAGAGAAGCAGCTGCAAACCCAGCACAGGTTCCAGGGCAGAGGAATTGACTACTGTAGTTTGCAGACAAGTGGAAAGGTCATCAAGGGGAAAAGCAGAATGAGAATGGCAAAAGGAGGCCTGAAATAACCTGTGAGCCATGAGGCTCCTTCTAAAAAGAAGGTGCAGGGCTTGGGAGCAGTTCTTGTAGTTCTTCTGAGTGTGTGGTGGGGAGGGGAATAGGGGATTAAAGACGATTTCACTGTAGTTACAGCCTTAGTTGTTCCCAAGACTGGGGAGATGGGGAGCAACAATGATTGCCTGGGTAACAGAGCCCCCTTCCCTCACCTTATCCCAGAAACAGCTGGCTTTTTACTTTAATATGTAACGCTTGACTAGGGAGCCAGATAAGGGTGTCCTACCAAACTGCATCCCTTTTCTGCCAGCACCAAAGTCCCTATAATTACAGCTTGCTTTTGCTGGGGAGCCTTTAGGCTCTGAAGCAACCTGGTTAATTTAGGAACAAAGAACGTTGTTCCTAAATTGCATCAATTATTTTAGAGAAAAAGCTTACGTTACCTTCTTTCCCAGGAAATGGCATTACTTTTTCTTCTTTCTTTTTCAGCCAAAGGCTCACAAAGAGTTGAAAACATTATAAATAGTTACAGAAATAACTATTTATAACACTTTCAAAACACTCTTCATAACAAACTAATAAACAGTTCAACTTCACCAGTAGTCTGACAACTCAAAATGGTGAAAGTGTTGAAAGGTTAAAAGGCATTGTTGGCGAGTCTGCTGAGACTGGCACACTTGTGCCAACTACAAGTGCAAAATTGCACCTTTCTGGTATTAAAAAATTTATATCCTCTTCCCTAATAACTCCACTTCAGGGAAGCTATCCTAAAGAAAGAGATGTGTACAGAGATTTATTTGCAAAAGCGAAGTGAAAAATTGAAAGCAATGTCATTGTATAAAAATAGAATTACATATGTGATGTTTCACATGGATAAAAACATGTTTGAGAGTGATGGCACGGGAAGAAGCAGTGTGATGGAGTCATTAGGAGCATAGAATCAGGGGTCACTCAGATCTGAGTTTTAATTTTGACCACAAGCACTTTGAGCTTTACAGCAGCTTTGACTCCCTAAGCTTCAGGGGAAAAGATGCCTTCATAATGGAGAGGTCCGGCAGGGGGTGGGGACCACCTTAATGAAGTGACCAAACTGTTATCACCAATGATGAGGCCAACTGACATGATGTGCCTCCCAACAATACACAACTGGAAGGACACGAAATCTATCTACTATCATTCCCCCAAATTTTTAAACTGACTCGAATCATGAACAAACTCATTCTGAAATTCTGAAACACGTCTAGGGTACTCGTCAAAGAATGTCAACATCACTTAAAAAAAGAAAGAAAGAAAGAAAGATTGTTCTATGGGACTTCCCTGGCGTCCAGTGGTTAAGACTTTTCCTTCCAATGCAAGGGGTGCAGATCTGATCCCTGGTCGGGGAGCTAAGATCCCACATGCCTTGTGGCCAATAAACCAAAACATAAAACACAAGCAATACTGTAACAAATTCAATAAAGACCTTAAAAATGGTCCACATCGGGACTTCCCTGGCGGCACAGTGGTTAAGACTCTGTGCTCCCAATGCAGGGGGCCCACGTTTGATCCCTGGTCAGGGAACTAGATCCCACAGGCATGCTGCAACTAAGGAGCCTAAGTGCCACAATTAAGGAGCCCACCAGCTGCAACTAAGACCCGGCACGACCAAATTAAATAAATATTTAAAAAAATAAAAATACTTATGAATAAATATTTATAAAAAATGGTCCACATCAAAAAAAATCTTTAAAAAAAAGATTGTTTTAGATTAAAGGAGACTAAGAGACATAACAACTAAACACAATGTAGGGTGAAGTGCCATGAGGTCTGCAATTTACTTTCAAATATTTCAGAAAAGCAAACAAATGTAGCAAAATGTTAACAAATAGTGAAATCACATGAAAGTCACATGGATGTTCATTGTATTATTTTCAGTTGTTCTGTAGGTTTGAAACCTTTTGAAATAGAGTTCAGAGACTAAATTTGCTTCCTTGAAGGTGGTAAAATCTCTTAGGGTTGTAGAGAGGACTATATGAGGCAGTGCATATAAAGAGCTTAGCGCAGCACATGCAAGAAACGCTAACGATGTGCTTTGGTACCTTATTATTTATGAGCACAATGGAAATACATGTTTGGCCCCTAAGGATTTCTACCTCTCCATTCTCTATCATGGTGCAGGATCGCACTCCCCCACCCCTTTTGATGTTGGCATGGCCATGTGACTGGACAGTGAAACATGAGATAAGCGATATCTGTCACTTCCACATGGGAGCTTTAAGAGCCACCATGTAACTCACAGCGTAACTTCCAGCTGCGCAGTGACCCACAGAGCACATGCTGACATAAAGCCTTTGGCTGACTGGATTCCTGAGTCACTGCAATGAGTCTTCCTACTGATTCACAGTGGCTATGTGGAGTGAGCAAGACAATCTTTTGTCGTATGAAACCAATGAGCTTTAGGGACCCTAAATTACAGCCCAATCTAACCTAGGAGTCCAGAAACTACTGCCCTCTGGTCAAATCTTGCCCATCACTTATTTTTGTAAATAAAGTTTTACTGGGATACAGCTGTGTGTATCATTTATATACTGTCTGTGGATGCTTCAGCGCTACAACAGCAAGAGCTGAGTAGGTGCAACAGACAACATATGGCCTGTAGAACCGGAAATACGTACTACCTTGTCCTTAACAGAAAAGTTTGCTGACCCCTAACCTACTCTATCTTGACTGACACAATCATATTTTAAGACAAAATAGAAAAAAAAAACCAAAAAACCAAAGCATTTATAAAACATGACTTTTAGCTGTAAAACCTCGGGCAAGTTATTTATTACTTCTACAACCTTTTAGTTGCCTTTGTGTAAAATGGGAGTATTAACAGTATCTACCTCATATGATGCTGTGATAATTAAATGAATTCTTGCATGTAAAAACTTGGAACCAGGAGGCTTGGAACAGCAATGCTGGAGTAGCCAGAAGGAAGTGCAGGAATATGAGCTGAGGGATATAAAGTCATGAAAACAAGAACTCAGTACATTGTAGACACCCAATAAATGTTAGCAATTATTCCACTTACATAAAAATAAAATATATTTGAACAGAAACAGAAGACTAGAAGGCAGTAACAAATAACAGTAACCATGGTTATCTTTTAAAATATTAAGAGATAGGATCAGGAATGGTTTTATTTTTTTTCCTTTGTTACCATTCTGTGCTTTAAATTTTTCTACAACAAACATAATAGATTTTATAATCCGGAAAAAATAATGAATGGTTTTTATAATTGCTGAAAATTTTTAATATTTCTGTCATTTCACAAAACATCTTTTGTTGACATCCTACAAATGATACCATCCAATAACGTCCCAATTCTTTCTTCTTGTGAAGATAGTTTATATATCTGTAAAAATAAAAGACAGATTATGACATGCTGACATATTCATGTACTACTAATTTTCATTACACGAGCATGTATATGTGAATTAACTTATTACTCAATTATTGGGATAATGGTGTAAAATCACAATGTGTTTAAAGTTTGGAAAATAGATGACAATTCATCACTTACATCAAAAGTTTCAATTGCAGTTATGGTGATAACTCTCTAAACATAGAAATACATTTGTACCAGTTTTAAAAGCATACATCTAGACATTAACTTCATACTACATTGTGTAAGATATAGATATTTAAATGTACTGTGTAAGATATAGATATTTAAAATTATCTATTCTTTTAAAAAGAATGCATTGGGCTTCCCTGGTGGCACAGTGGTTAAGAATCCGCCTGCCAATGCAGGAGACACGGGTTCGAGCCCTGGCCCGGGAAGATCCCACATGCTGCTAAGCAAATAAGCCCGTGAGCCACAACTACTAAAGCCTGTGCTCTAGAGCCCACGAGCCACAACTACTGAGCCCGTGTGCCACAACTACTGAAGCCCGCGTGCCTAGAGCCCGTGCTTGGCAACAAGAGAAGCCACCATAATGAGAAGCCTGCGCACTGCAACGAAGAGTAGCCCCCGCTTGCCGCAACTAGAGAAAGCCCGTGCGCAGCAATGAAGACCCAACGTAGCCACAAATAAATAAATAAAATTATATATATACATAAAGAATGCATCAACTAAGTTTTTAATTATGTTACATAAACCTGCATTTCCAATTCTTTGCATCTATAATTATTTTTCAAGTAACTTTTAATTATATTAACCTTTCTTAAAAGTTAAAAATATATATAGAAGCATTGGCGTTCAGTAAACAAACAGTATTATTCCACATCTATCATGCTCTTTCTAAAAATACAGGCTTACAAACCTTTTTGACTTCCGTAATATTTGTTATTTCAGGGAGATTTCTGAGAGAAACTTGATGACCTTCTACCTGAGATATTAGGTATTCTTGATTTATTTGTTTTTCTCCCTCTTCAATATAAGCAATCAGAACTGAAGTGTCATTTGCCGAGATACCAAACTTTTTCAAGGCCTCTGAAATCTAAGGGGGAAAAAAAGACAATAAAACCAGTAGTTTCAACATCTGAAATCTCTCCCCATTTGTGCTCTTTCCTGGTCAGATTCTTATTTTTCATATCCTAATGGTTTTCTCTGTCTACAGTTTTTCAACAATCCCTTCCTAATATCTACCAGCTCTGCCTCTTGAGTACTCCCTGCTCAAAGCTGCACTTCATTCCCATAGAGTCAAGCCTGGACTTGGCATGGCGCACAAACACCCACTCCCCCTGGACCTAAGTGACCCTCTAGCCATGCACTCCTGCCCTCTAGCCAGTCGGGACTGTTTGGGGCTCCCGTCATTTCATACTTTTTTGCCTGGGCTCACACTTTGCCCTCTGCCTGGAGTGCCCTCATCTTTCAAGGTCCAGTTCAAATGTCACTCCCCTTGCACTTTCCTCCTTACAGAATGAATTGCTTCTTTGTTCCCACAGATTTGCATTATTATTCCCATTATATCAATTATCTTAGGGCATTTGGACTTTGTCTTGTTCATCTGCCTTCCTCAGAAACATATTTGTTTCTTCTGCCCCTACAGCTGGAACAGACACAAGCTCAACAGATGTTTATGAATTGTACAGTCTCCTGAGTTATTTCAGTGATCTCAAAGAAACAATAGTAACCCAGTAATTTTCCCCCAGGTACTGGGGAATTCTATCACCACACATTTTATAAACTTTTCAAACATCTGTATTTGAAACTATGCCATGGGTTTCCTAACTTTTCTCTTGATGTCAGCACTTGATTGTGTTGTTAATAGTAGTAGTAATACTAAAACTTTGTCAGCAAAATTACATTTTTTTTCAAATGTGCCCCAGGTAGAATATTTTAAACTCAGTAACTTTGATTACTATCAGTATCTCAAACCACAAACTCTTCCTATGCACTGGGTGTGTGAGCATGTGTTAAAGGGCTGTTCTAGGTCCCAGGCAGACTTCTGGTGTATGGAAAAGACATGGGTTCTATCCTCAAAGAGTTTATGGGGAGAACGAAAGATACACATGATAACACACAAATATCCATGCCTAATTTTTATCATTAGATTTAAATATCACTTAGAGTGATCTTCCTGACTCTATATGGTCAGGAAGGACAAATAAAACTATCCTCACTTAATTTAGCTAAACTTTAGTTTACTCATATGTGAAGTGACTCCAAAGCTTATTTGTCTAGTAAGAGGCAATACTAAACCTCAACTCTCTGTCCAGCATTCTTTCTTCACTATTATTTTTGTTTGTTACTAACAACAGGCTCCAACCCAACAATAAGTACAAAGGCTACCATGACAAGGTCAAAAGATATAAAGTAAGTAAATTCCATATTAATTACATTGTTATTTGGGGAAAGATTGAAAATAATTTCAGTAGATAGAGTTCTTGTCTTCATTTTTCCCAGTTTGTAGAGGTGAACTGCTTTGCTTGCTGCCACAAGTATCTGAAATGGATCGACAATCTATCAAAGAGAACAAAAAGAATTACATACAGAGAATCTGGAGTACTCTGAAGACATATGCCCTATATCATGGTAACTCCAGTGTCAGGCTGTTTTACTTCATCACAATTCCTACGGACTACATTTTCAAAATTTTCAAAATCTCAAGGGCCTACGGTGTTTAGAAAATCACAGAATTTTACAGCTGCAAGCAACTTAGGTAAATAGTAAAAAGTTTTAAAACAACACTTATTGAGGGCTATTATTATGGGAAAGGCCATATTCTCAACATTTTACCTTCATTTTCTATACTTCTCAAAACGACCCTATGATATCTTTATCATTATTCACATGCAATAGATGAGGAAACCAAGGCAAAGGATGAGTTGGAATTCCAGTTCTGTCACTTACCACCGAGGGAACCTGGGCAAATTCCTTAGTGTTTTATCTGTAGAAGCAGATAATCACCATACTTACTTCACAGGGTTGTTATGAAGATTAAGTGAGTTAGCGGTATATGTAAAGAACTTAGAACAATGCCAGGAACCAAATTAGCACTATATAAAGGTTGGCTACCACTTGCTCAAAGTCATAATAAATGGCATATCTGGGATTTAAGTCCTGCTGATTCTACCACTATGCAATGTCTCCTTTACAGAGATTTTCTAGTTCAGAAGAGAAGATGGAGATCCAGGCATCTGCCATCACATCAGAGCTAGACTACCTTTCACATCTCCAAGGGCAGGCCCTGGCACTTCGGCTTCTAGTCACTGTTAAATTCAAGGCTGGCCAAATCCGATTCCACTCTACAGCTTGGACAAGAACTTTTTACCTGAAGATAACAATTTTAGGCTAACCTATAACGTCATGAAAAATCATCATATTCTTAAACTCCCCATGTAGTTCACTCATTCCCACGAGTACTTACCACTGTAGGATTTATTAATGAGCCATCAATGGCACCTTCCATGGCCTTTTTTCTCAAGTCTCCAGCATTTTTTACATCTTTAAATAACAGAAGGGTCACCCTGTATTCGGGAAATAGGTCCAGCTGATGTGTTAACTGCATTTCATCGATAAGCAAGATTCTATTGCACAAGACCAAAAGACCAAAAGTTAACAACTGTAAGTCACTAACAAACAAATATCCTTACTAACAATTAAATATATTAAAGTAACTTGAATAATGAGATGTAGAACTGTTAAACTAGAAAAATCCACCCCAAAACATTTGGCATTCTCATGAGACACTGTCTTCCTAACCCTGCTGAGCTGTTTCTAGCTTCCTTTACCATTCCTGGGAAAGGATCAAGGTTGACACCTGGCCCCCTGGCTGTGCAGATAAGGCAGGCTCTGATGCATGGAAGAAGGGCAGCTTCCCAACAGACAACTAGGAGCAGAAAACCAAAAATTGTTTAGACCACAGGTTACTTATAGCATTAAGGAAACCTCACTCTAACTTGGTCTTTTTAGCTTTCTGATCTCACCATTTGTTTATATTTTAGCAGAACCTAGACACAAATATAAAGAAAATAATCTTATAGAAGAAAGTATGACACAACTCAAAGATATTCATTTCACACATGGGAATTTAGCCACGAGGGTACAATTCTTAAATAATAATACTGACCCTTTATAGACGTAAATTTAACAAGGACATAAAATACAAATAACTGGAAAGACATAATCTATCTTTGAAATGGAAAAACTAAGCACTGCAAAAATCTGATCTTTAAAACAATTTCAATTACAGTCCCAATGAGATATTTGGGTGAGGCAATTTTATAGGTTCATTTTATCCTTTCACCTAGGTTCCATTGCTAGCATTTTTCTTAAGGAATAAATTGGCAATCTGAAGATTTATGTAATAAGATGTCCTTCTCATCATCCTAAGAGTAAAAAGTTGAAAACCTACCTAACTAGTAACAGGGGATTGGTTTTTACTAAACAACCACTAAAAACTAGTCTTGAAGAGTAGTTAAGGATGTGTAAATATAGCAATAAATAACATTAAGTACTTCACATCTGATTGGAAAACAAAACACAAAATGTGACACAAATTGTGGGGTTTTTTAAAAGGTACACAAAAAGAAAAAATATTGAAAGAAAAATACAACAAAAAGTTATCCTTGACTTGCTGGAATTACATCTGATCTTTTCTGTTACAATCAGGAAAGAATAAAATTTGTGAATAACGTCCTAGCACACAGCAGTTCAACCTTTATTATCATGATAATGTCCAATGGAAAAAAAAATAGATACAGACAGAATGTATACCCAATTATATAAAAAGATGCACTCAGAAAGCAAAAACATAAAGGAAGCACACCAAAGTACGGCCATCTTGGATAGCAGAATTGCAGGTAATTTTTATTGTTTTCTATAAAAAATATTTTTGTGTGTATGTTCTGAATTTTCTGCAGTGTGCACACAAAATATAATGAGTACATATAACTAGGGAGGAAAAATCTTTTGTGGTTTTTGTTTTTACACTAGGGGAAAAAGGCCCCCTAGCAAACGTCAAATTGGTTTGTTTTGTTTTATATAATTCACTCAGGTCAGAAACTTCGAATCATCGTTGGATACTAACCTCTCACTCAAATCCCATATCTAATCCAAAAGTCTTGTCAATTTTTAATTATCATCTCGACAGCTCCAATTTTCTCCTATACCCACTGCCACCACCGTAGGCCACCATCTCTCATCTACATCTGTGACCTCCTAGAAGTGGTCGCCTCACCATTCCTGCCCTCCTACCATCCAACCTCCACCCACGGGCGTTCCAAACTCTATGATCTGAACCCTTCCTCCCTCTTCGGCTTCCTAGCGCACCCCTCCCCTGATCGCGCTTATTCCGCCACCGCCGCACTTGACTTCTCAGCTTCAATTCACCAAGATCCCGCCCCCACGCGCCCTCTAGGACAGGCAGTTCCCCTGATGCAATCCTCCCTCCCTTCAACTCGCCGGTAAGAGCCCATTTACCAGCACGCCCAGAACCCAGGACTAGCTCCCTATTCTACGAGCTCCTCTGTCACAACTCTGATGAGTCGCGGCCTTATCAGGATGATGTATCGTCAGCTGATACATCAGGGAGAGACTACGCAGATCATTGCCGGGCTGCATCCTAGGGCCGGGCCTCGGGAGGCGCTCGATAAACGAGGAAGCCGAGGATCACACCCGTTGTCTAGAAAATGGGTGCCGGGACTGCGTCTTCCGTTCCCGCCCGGCCAGCTCTTGCTCGGCGAGGACTCACCGTCGCGTCCCTGTTCGTCTCGTAAGATCTTCCCCACGGAAACAATGCCCTGAACTTCCGGAAGATCGCCCTCAGCTGCGCCCCTTCTCCGCCCTCCCGGCACACCCTTCTTCCCTGGCTTGAATCGCATCAGCGGACGCGAAGGAGAGCCGGGGCTCCGTCCACCACTTCCGGCGAGGGAGGAGGCGAGACTCCTCCGGCAGGGCCGGAAGCTGGGGGATCTGTGGGCTCCGCCCGGTCCTTAAGCACCTTGACTTTGGACGAGACGTCCTCAGTTTCTTCCTGTGCAAAGAAAAGTATTGGCTTCAATGAGCTCTACGTACGTCTCCGCTGCTCGAGATTCAACAGTTTTTCGAGGCAGGCGGGATTTAGTTTGCTTCTTGTTCTGGGTACGCTCACTGGGGAAGGATCTCCTGGAGCCGAACGCAGTCGGCGACCTACCTGAGGTACTTCAGAGAGAGGTGACAGTACGTTAATGGAGTCAACCTCTTCATCCAGCAGGCTCACAGATTTGACTTGTCATCCTTAAGTGTATCAGCCTCTAAAAGAGGAGGTAATCCGCTGAACAGGCTGTAGAGAATTATTTTCCATGTTTTTTATGCTTGGGGCTCATGTTGGTCAATACTTTTCTTTAAACAAAAAGACAGGTAAATAACAAATAGGGTGGATATATGCTATGGAGAAAAAACCAGAGGAAATGAGGTAATGTCAGGCCGTGGGTATTACTATTTTAAATAGGATGGTTAAGAAAGATCTCACCGAAAAGGGCCATTTGAACAGTGACTGGAGGAGGTCTGGAAGGAAGTTCTGTGTGTATTTGAAGAGCAGCATTCCAGGCAACAAAGAGTGTTCAAAGGCTGAGACAGATACGGCCTTAGCCTATTTAAGAAAGAGCAAAGAACCTTGTGGCTTGAGCACAGTGGGAATGTATATGAAAAAAAAATTGTTCTGACAGAAGACTGGAATCCAGATTATGTGAAGAACTCCAACTCAAAAATTATGAGCCAACCTAATTAAGAATAGGAGACATTTTTGAACACACTTCACAAAAGATATATGAAAGGCCAATAAAAACTTGAAAAAATGCTCAACATCATTATTCATCAGGGAAATACAAATTAAAAACATAATGAGATACTATTACATACCCGTAAGATGACTAAAATTTAAAAGACCTTAAAATTTTTAAATACCAAGTGTTGTCAGACATGCAGAACTAGAACCCTCACATGTTGCTAGTCCGAGTATAAAATAGTATAACCACTTTGGAGAAGAGTTTGGCAGCTTCTTAAAAAATTAAATGTGTTCTTACCATACCCAGCAGTTTCACTCCTTGGTATTTACCCAGAAGTGAAAATGTGTCCACACAAAGGCTTGAACGTGAATGTTCATAGTAACTTGACTCATAATAGCCCCAAACTGGAAACAACCCAGTGCCCAACAACACATCAATAGATAAACAAATTGTGGTAAATTAATGTCATGAAATACTATTCAGTAATAAAAGAAATGAACATACTTGCAACAATACTTGCAACATGGATGAATCTAAAAACATGCTCAGCAAAAAAGCAAGAAACTAAAATTATGTTACTGTATGATTCCATTTCTATAACTATAGGAATTGCAAATTTATTCTAGAGTGAATGAAAGCAAATTAGTGGTTGCTAGGAATGGGCAAGTGGGAGACACTGAAAAGAACCCCCAAGGGAACCTTTGCATTCACATGAAGCCAATGTTCTGTATCTTTTTTTTTTTTTTTTTTTTTTTTGCGGTATGTGGGCCTCTCACTGTTGTGGCCTCTCCCGTTGCAGAGCACAGGCTCCGGACGCGCAGGCTCAGCGGTCATGGCTCACGGGCCCAGCCACTCCACGGCATGTGGGATCTTTCCGGACCGGGGCACGAACCCATGTCCCCTGCATCGGCAGGCGGACTCCCAACCACTGCGCCACCAGGGAAACCCCAATGTTCTATATCTTGATGTGGTGTTAGTTAAAAGGGAGTATGAATTTGTCAAAATTCATTAAATTATGTACTTTTAAAGAGTACATTTTATAAAATTATGCCCCAGTAAAGTCAATTAAAAAATAGACATAGAAAAAAAAAGTTGTCCCAGTTCAGTGACTTGTCTGTGACCACCAAAAGCTGGAAATGACCCAAATGTTCATCAAGTGAATGGACAAACTGTATATCCATACAATGGAATACAACTTGGCAGTAAAAAGGAAATCAACTATTGCTACATAAAATAACATGGATAAATCTCAAAATAGTCATGCTGAAAGAAAAAAGCCAGACATAAAAATAGTGTATACTGTATGACTCCATTTATATAAAACTAATTTATAGTGACAAAGCAAATCACCAGTGGCTTGGGTAGGGGGCCTGGGGTGGAAAAGGAGAATTACAAAGGGGCACTAGGAATCTTTGGGGTAATATCAATAGATGTGTTCTATCTTAATTGTGGTAATGGTCTCATGGATGTATACATGTCAAATTTATCAACCTGTTCACTTTAACAGTTGTACAGTGTATCATATGTCAATTATATTTCTAAAGCTGTTTTAAAAATCACAACACTACATCTGTATTAGAATAGCTCAAAGAAATGAAAAAACTGACAATATAAGTGCTGGTAAGAATGTGAGCAACTGGAACCATTCCTGTGTCATGTGAAAATAACCCCCCAAATGAAACTGTATTTCTTGATAAACTGTTACTTGATGTCTCTGTATTCCTAAAAGGTATAAATATTTGTAGGATCTCAATGTCAAGTCAGTGGAAGAGCTCTGGTACTTCTTGGTCTCATATGTGTGGTTGAAAAATTAATAGCTATGACTGCCAGATTTATTAACAAATAATAAATTTATGAATTTTATTATTTTAAAATTTTATTTATTTACTTTTGGCTGCATTGGGTCTTTATTGCTGTGCACAGGCTTTCTCTAGTTGTGGCTTGCAGATGCTACTTTTTGTTGCAGTGTACGTGTTTCTCATTGCACTGGATTCTCTTGTTGTAAAGCACGGGCTTTAGGTGCACGGGCTTCAGTAGTTGTGGCTCACAGGCTCTAGAGTGCAGGCTCAGTAGTTGTGGCGTACGGGCTTAGTTGCTCCATGACACGTGGGATCTTCCTGAACCAGGGCTCGAACCTGTGTCCCCTGCATTGGCAGGTGGATTCTTAACCACTGTGCCACCAGGGAAGTCCCTACATTTATGAATTTTAAATGTGTTACATTTGTCTTGCTGAGGTCCTCTAGAAAGCAGAACCTGAGGCAAGGATTAAAATGCTGGTATTTTATTTGGGGTATGTAGGAACAGAGTTGTGAGGGTGAGGAACAGGCTTCACAATGAGACAAAAAGCCACACAGTTGTTTGGTATATGTGTTCACTCAGCAGGCTGGACTTTCTTTGGGAGGCTTGAAAGGAAAAACCATTCCTGAGAGTAATCCACAGAAGGGAGAAAGAAGCGGGAATTTGCCTGCCAGGCTTCCTCCTGTCTTACACGTCTCATTAATCAAGGCTCCTTCCATGGGAGCCAACTCCTCTACACTTCTGTTCATCATCTCACCCTTCTCTGGCAGCTCAGAAAGCCAGAGTTGTGGCCTGATATGTAGCATTTCCTCCAACTCTAACATGGAGGGATGGCTGAGAATGGAGAGGGCTTGGTATGGAGGCCCAGAGTTTAACTTGGGCTCTAGTCAGCTTAGAGAGTGTTAATTAGGTTTGCTGGCAAAGGCAAGACCAGGGAGTGTGGTCCAGGTGGCAGATGGCATCTTCAAGGAGGAGGAGGAGGTTGAGGGAATCTGAGACCATTCTTAGAACCTGTGTTTCACATAACAGGAGATATAAATGAAATAAATGCTAAATAGTGATACAAGGTACCTTGTAGAAAAAGAGCATAATCCAGTAGGGGGGTAGGGCTGGGAGAGAAGGCTTTACTGAGGAGAGGGGGCTTCAAGAATGATTTGTTCACAGAGGCTGTAGGAGAGCCATTATAGCCAAGGGAACAACCTGAAAGACAAAGATACCGTGGCATAAACATGTACAATGTTGTGGTCAAGAAACGGCTGGCACACTGAAGAATGGAGTGGAACACAGCAGAGGCTTTGAAAAGTCAGCTGGGAGGCAGATCACACAGGGCTCTGACAAGGAGTTGGAAATGGATTCTGAAGGCCGTGAGCCATCAAAGGTTTCCAAGAGGGGAATAACATTAATGAGCTTGTTTTAGGACATAATTCTGGGGCAGTTGTTAGAATTACATTAGAAAGGTGGCTCAGACAGGATCTAGATAGGGCCTACCTCCATAGCAGGAGTGTTTGTAGTTGATTTTGTGGGTCCAAATCATGACTTAGGGCACTGAATGGCCTACACTCCTGGGACATGAGGCATAAAAATCAAGCTTACCAGACTAAGGTTAAACCCAAAACCAACTTAAGTGGCAAAGTCTCATTACACTGGCTAGATTGAACTCATGCCTGTATCTCTACTTTTTACTTAAACCCTACCAAGAAGATAAGACTCCTAAAGATTAAGAACTCACAAGAGGATGGGAGGGATGATGAATGGTAGACAGAGAGAGAGAGAGAGAGCAATAAAAATTTCAAATATATTAACTCTCAGAATGGAGAAAAATAAAACCTAATTGTGTGCAGCAAGGGGAAGCTAAACAAAAGTCAAGGTGACTGACCACCTTATTACAAGTCTACCATACACTTCCATCAGCTCTGAGTGCCTCAATCGTAAGTACTAAATGACAGGCAAAGATCACCAGATATTTCAAGATCACATCTAACAGGAGAGAAAGGCATCAACAAACAGGAAAAAACAAAAAACAAAAACAGCTGACACAGGGAACAGAAGAAACTTAAAAATTGATAACTTCAGAGAGAGAAAAGATAATGCATTCATTTAAAAAATAAAAGAATGAAGTGCCTGGGAAAAAAAACACTCAGAAAAGAA